TATATATAAATAAATCAATTTATACAGTTTATACAACGAGTATAAAATGGAAATATTATGCGATACATTCCTGTTTTATCTGAAATGGTGAAAAAAAAAGCTATCATAAGCCTCTGTTTAGTTATCTGAATGACCATGAAAATTTGCTATTCTCATGAGTGTTGCATTATTGTTCTTTTATAAATTATTGCACTAATTATTTACAGGAGACACATCGTTATCACTCATAATACATGGTCTTCCGAAAACTGTAAAAACGAAAGTTATCAAGGATTGGTTCAGTCCTGTTAAGTTGAAAGGAGTAAAAATTGTACGTGGCTCAAGCGAAGCTATTGCATTCGTAACATTTTTTCAAAAATCTGATGTGATAAAAGCGCTGAAACGGAATGAGGAATTTTTGGGCGGTTCCAAGGTTCATTTTATTAATGAAATTTATTAATTTTTGCTCTTAATTCTGTTAAACCGCAAAGCGCAATCCATGATTTATTACTGAATGGCAAATGGAGATGGGCAAAGAAAGATGAAAAGCGAAAAAAATAAACGATTATAATTTAGATATCTTTTTTTAAGCTGCAAATAACAAAAGTGTCGAGTGATCGACTTTCTGATAGAAATGTGGAAGATTATATCCACAAGACGAGGGAAGCAGAAGTTGAAGCGTTTGTGGCAAAGATCCTTGAAACTGGAAGGTTAATTTATTTTAATGTGTTTTACACTGCAGTTTAGAATCATAAGTGCAAATAACGATGTGATGACACGAATTAAATAGATCTCTTGATATCTTTCAAAAATGCTGCTTTTATTTAACTTCGAATTTCCAGACTCTTTGTTCGAAACCTGCCCTATGTGTGCAGTGATGAAGACTTACGTTGCCTCTTTAAAAAGTATGGTGAGATATCTGATTTGCAAGTGATTGTTAGCAAAAAAACGGGACAGTGTAAAGGATTTGCTATTATCACATATGTTTTTCCAGAATCTGCTGTTGCAGCATACTCGGCGTTGGATGGTTCCATTTTAAAGGTTTATTCTGCAGCATTCTTTTTCTATCTGTATTTCACAGTTGATTGATGTATTTTTCTATCCTATTTATTCATCCTCTTCTCTTCTGCCTTTCAGGGAAGAATGCTTCATATTTTACCTGGGGAAGAGAAGCACGAGGTTGAAGAAACTGACATCACTGGTAAATCGGCGTTTCAGAAAGCAAGACTTGCAAAACTAAAGGTTTTTCTTGAAAGTCAGCTAACGTTCTGCACCTTATTTGACATATTCATTACTTAATCATGTTATGAAATATTTTTTAGAAGGATGCTGGAAAATCTCATTCGTGGAATACATTATTCCTTGGAGCTAACGCAGTAGCTGAAACGTTGGCTGAAAAATTGGATGTTGAAAAAAGCGACTTGCTGCTTGGACAGGGAGAAATAAGGTAAATTTCTGTTGGCAAGAATTGGATTCTTGATTAATAGTGCAATAGGTGAAAGACAATTTCTACGTTACTCTTTAATCAGAAAGCAGAGGGTCCACTTGGTGTAGTCCTGTCAACTACTGATGTGATAATTTGTTAGTTGTTTGATGGTGCAAAATTGATAAATACATCAAGTGCTATATGATCAAATAAATTAATTCATGTTATAAACCACGGAATGAGAAAGTAGTGAAATTAAGTTTTATCAGATTTTTTTTAGTTGTTTTTTTGTAATTTAACAGTGCTGGTGTGCGCCTGGCACTTGCGGAAACACGATTGGTCACTGAAACTAGGGAATATCTATTGGCCAACGGCATATGTCTAGATGTTTTCTCACGGCCTGCAGCAAAAAGAAGCAATACTGTTATTATCATCAAAAATTTGCCAGCCAAGGTTGATACTGATGAATTAAAGCGAATGTTCGCAAAACATGGCTCCATAAAACAAATATTAATGCCTCCAGGTAGGCTGAGAAATTGTATACAGTGTGAATTATTATTTCTCAGAAAATTAAATTCTTCAGTCTTTTTAATTTTTTGTTGGTTACTATTTCAGTATATATTTTTCTAGTGTGGTCTTCGCTGACTCGGCCCTTTTCAATTGTGTTTGGTAGTCGTTCTGATATGATCATGTTAACCGAAATAGTTTTGAGTCAGGCAATTAGTAATTCCAAAAATTAACTGTTCGAATAATTCAAATTTTAGAATCATACATTTCTAAAAAATTTGGATTACTTGTAGGGGGTGTCACTGCTGTCTTAGAGATGGAAAATTCAGTTGATGCTCAGAAAGCATTTAGCACGCTTGCATACGCTCGATTTCGTTCGAAACCGTTGTTCCTCGAATGGGCACCGTACGATTTGTTCAAATCAAGTTCGTTAATTTTCGAGAATTCCATCGAACTTTACTATTTTACAAGGGAATTCATTTCATAATAACAAGATTATTCCTTCTTTTTTCTTTTACTTTTTCTTATTTTTAGAAAAATCTGAAAAAAATGACGAAGATGAAGATCAAAAACAACACAATTTTGAAATTGGAATTGAAAAGAAGAATAATGAATGCTCAGCGGAAGACAAGAAGAAACTGAGACGAAGCAAAAAGCACCGTTTGATTGAACAACCTATGGAAATTGCAGAATCACAAGAAAAAGGCAAGAAAACCTTAGTAAAGAATACAGTGACGTGCTCAAGAATGGTGAAGGAAATCAGTTGAAGAACTAATTTCTTCCTCTCCAAAATGTTTTACTGTCACATCGTAGCTTTTCTTAAAAGCAGTGTACTGCTCTAAAGAATTTCTTTATATTTCATTCCCAGCTAATGCAATGGAAGGATTCTTGCAGTGTATATTCGGATTTTATTAAAAGTATAGTATGCATATTAACAATTACATACCATATCTGCTTTGGCCGCTGTTAAGTTTGTGTTTAAAAATTTGGAAAAATTTTGCCATAACATTAAATTGTAGTTGAATTTGTAGTTGAATCGGTTGAAGCAACCAAAAATGAAGTGACAGCGAAAAATAGAGACATGCAGGAACAAGCCGAAGCAGAAAAGCGCATAGCTGAAATTAGAAATGAGAACAACAATGACGACACTAAAGAAGAAGATGATGCATTATTGCCAGGAACAACATTATTTGTAAAGAATTTGAGCTTCAAAACAACTGATGAAGGACTGAAGAATAAATTTGAATCACGATTTCGCATACGATCTGCTACCGTTTCCAAAAAACGAGGTAATTTTTTTCAACGTTTGTGATGCCGTGGAAATAAGAATTTGTTGGACGAAATAATTAAAATTATTTTTATTTTTTACTATGAAGCAAGACTTATTCATCATAGTCTTTTTGAGGTTATTGTAATTTACGCAAGTGTTTAAAAAATTTCACGCGCTATTAATGCGAATAATCTATTCTGCTTGAATATTCTCAATAGAAAGACAAAGTTCAATTTTTTAATAGGATATTTGCAATGGCAATAACTAGCATTCTGACTTTGCTCTCAATGAAGTATATCATGTTTTAAAATTTCTGAAACTATCTCTTTTCAGATGCTGCAGATCCTATGAAAGCGCTTTCAATGGGCTTTGGTTTCGTTACATTTTATCACCCAGAAGATGCGCAGCAGGCTATAAAAGATATGCAGGTTCGTTTGTAAAAGATTTTTATGTGCTAATTTTTGTAGTTAGGGAAAGATGTTTGGAAATTTTTTGAGTTCTGAAATCATAAAAAGTTTGAGTTCTGAAATCATAAATTTTGTTATTTTTATCTTGTTTGTTTCATTTTCAGGGTGTTTTATTGGATGGCCATTGCTTGATGTTAAAATTATCCCACAGAGAAGTTATACCAGATAAGATTATAGCAAGGAAAGGAGTTGATGAGTTGGAGCAGGGCGAAGCTACCAAGGTGATTTTGATTTTAATTGAATTCATTAATTTTTTTATTTAATTCGCTTTAACAAAAGATAACCATAATATATCTGCTTGCTTATTTAACTTAACAGGCTTGAGGAGCTATCAGCAAGACCAATTTTTTAAATGAATTTAGTAGTTCAGTATTGTAAATATTTCATGAATTTCATTGTAAAATTTATTGAGATTTCGTACTTTTAACAGTTTAACAACAAGTGGATTAAAGTAAATGTTAATGTAACATTGTGAGCTTTTTTGAGAAGGTTGTTATGTCTTACGTTTTAATCTTCACAAAAGATTGCTGTATCATATTCAGTTGATCCCATATTCAGAATTAACATGTCGTGAAACTTAACTACTAGAATAGAAAGATCGAATAAGTAAAATGTTGTCCTTCATATTAGTTTATTGCTTTTTTTTCCAGATTTTGATTAGAAATATACCATTTCAAGCAACTCGAAAGGAAGTTAAGCAACTTTTCGCAACTTTTGGTGAAATTCGCTCGTTCAGAATGCCAAGAAAGGCAAATTTATTTCACTCATTTGTTTGTTGTAGCAAGATTATTTTGTTGTCAATACCGGCTGTCACTCTTTGTGGAACAAAAATGATTTTTCACTTGAAAAAACGCAGCTCTCATTGTTTTATTGAATTTTGTCACAGTTTTTAAAACATTTTTAAATATTTTGTTACTTCTTCCATTTTTTCCAAGCGGTGATGTCATTCTTTTCTCATTTTTATTAATTCAGGTTGGTGCATCAGCAGAAGGTCATCGCGGGTTTGGCTTTGTTGATTTTTTAACTCGCGCCGATGCACGACGTGCATTTAGTGGTTTAGTTCATTCAACTCATTTCTACGGCCGAAGATTAGTTCTAGAATGGGCTAAGCCCGATGATAACCTGGAGGAACTTCGGGAGAAAGCTGTTGCTAATTTAAGGTAAGTTTCATTTTTTATCATTTCGTAGCAAAATTTTATACTTTCTGTTGAGTCTTTTCAGTAATCCAACTTTTCTTAAAATAAATTATATTTGATTAATTGGCAAAACTGTCATTTTGTTTCACGTGGAATATTTATAATTTTGCAGAGGTAATAAAGAAGAAATTCGATTACAAAAGAAAATGATGAAAAAAATTGAACAAGATTTAACGGTGATTGATGATGACTGAAAACTGTGTGATAAATCTTTAATTATGGAGAATTTTCTACTTAAACTTCTTGCGAAGTACTTTTTTTGTGAAGTTCTTGTTTCACCCAACGAAAAATTCTGAGGAAGCGAAACTTGATAGAAAATTATTAATTATAGTTCGATTATGTTTTTTTATCGATAATTTGAAGCTTTATGTTCCGTGTATGAAATCAACGTAATTAAAATAAATATGTTGTTTTAGTAAATAATTCATTTGAATTCTAAGACAATGAGTACATTTACATGGAAACTTAGTATTCTGGTAAAATCCTTAATATTGCTTGATGCTTCGACAATACCAAGAATGATATAGGGAAGAGTAGTACAGGTAAGTAATAGCTAAATCATTTATGCCAATTTAAATTAGTGCCAATGTAATCAAGTGTAATGATTTCTTGGGAATTATTTATAGTGTTATTGTCCGTAGATGCGGAATAGTTCATCACTACAGTATGGAGAGCAGTTCCCGACAACCTCTAAGACCAAGGGTAATTCTCTTCAAATCTATACCGTCGTCGTAGGATCTAGAACTGCTCTTAATTTTTTCGGCCTTCATTCATCAACACTTCATTCTGAAAAAGTAATGAAAGATGGATCTGACAGTTTTTTGGGTGGAGGTTGTGATAGAGTGGCAGTGCTAAATTTAGAAGTTTGAACTTATTTTATATGAGTTTCAAAGGTTGGTATAAAAAATGAGCATCCTTATTTGCTTTTAGGCAGACCAACGCCTTCTTTAATGGAATCATAAATTGCAAAGGCAAAAATGGGAATAGATAGTATTTCTTGTGGTGCCGTTTCGTTCAGTAATAGCGCAGGAACTGAGTTTGAAATTACGGCAAATCGTTGTTGAGAGATCAATTGTTAGATATTTTAAATGAAAAGCAAAACAGAAAAGAAAACTTGAAAGAGCAGCAAATTGGTCGGATAATATTACTTTGTGTCTCTAAATATCATTTGACCAAAACTTATTTTTTCGACTGTGCTAAATTGATTAGTTGTTGCAAATTTTATTGCTAAGTTGAAAAAATCGAATTGAACTCAGTAATAATGATATTCATTAGATTAAAACCTGAAATTAGACTAAAGCGAAAAAGAAAAAGGTTGATTATATGAGCTCAAAAGCTCAAAGGTTAGCTTTACTAACAGCTACCATATTTGTCAACATCGAGAAGCATTGATCTGTGTAGCATCAACAATTTCATCTAACACACGCTTAGATATCAAAATATCTCGAAATATTTAAAGATTTGTGAAGTATGGTCATTTTGCCAAAATAAGCTGAAATATGAAAATTAAGGAAATTTAAAGAAGTGCTACTGATATGATACTTCTGAAAGGATTATTTTATTACCTTTTTTATCATTTCCATCAACATATACTTCATCAGTAATTGCCTGTATAAATTAATTTAATGTATTAAATTTCATAAAAATTGATACTTCTTTTTGTCATATACTTTTATGTAATATTTTAACGGCTATTTGTCATAAATTCTTTATTGGGAAAAGAGAGATATTTTCGAAGATTGTCTTCTTCGTTTTTTTTCTGAAGTTTAGTTTACAACGATAAATGATAAGAACAATAAATGATAAGATAATGGGAGAAAGGAGGAAAAAAAACAGAGTGATGATTTTTTTCTTATGAGTGTAATAATTGTAAAGTTATATAATTAACAATTTTAGATGGTCAGTTAACTAAAAGAATTCGATTGATGTTTGCAGCAATATAATTGTGTTTCTTTCATCCAACAAATGCGCTCCAAAAATATTTGTTCATTCTTTCAACGATAAATAAACACAGTGAAAACTCTTCGTATACATTACATACTGATTTCTTATTAGCAATCCCATATGATATACAAAGTTTTGTTCGACGAAAAAATCACTTTCTCATTTTCTTTTCTATTCTGCAAAAGTTGAAATTATTGATTGCATTCATACATTTTCTTCTCGCAACAATAATTTGATCGTAAAAATTTATTTATTAGCAATTATTTCATATAAATAAGAAAACAGTTTATTGTATATTGTAATTTGCATTGCAATATACAACAATATATTTATTAAATATTTTGCATATGTGGAAATAATTTATAATTTGAATTAAATGTACGCTTAATGTTAATGAATTAATTACTTAAATGGGGATATTACAATGATAGATCAATTTTTTGCATTTAATTACAATGTAAATAACATAAACCAAATGATATTTTTCATTTGCAACATTTTACGACATAAACTCAAATTATCATTCAATGTAATTAATAATTTTTTAGATACTATAAAGTTTTTAATTATTTAATAAAATTCATTTTCTTCAATTGCAATTAATTTTTCGTTAACAAACAAAAATATTATATTAATTAGTAAATTTTATTTTTTAATGATTATTTTCAATGCAATGGTAAGGGAAAGATAAGAAATGAAAGTTTAGTTTCATTTGTTAATTGATGTTCAATTTCTTTCTTGAAATATTGCTTGCTAAAAATGATTTTGATAAAACATTAGTAATGTTCAAATTTCTTTCTTTATTTTTCCCCCGAGTTTAAAAGAGTTAGTTATCTCTAATGGGGGAATGAATACTTGTAGTTCAGTTTCTTCTCTTCATTATCTCATAATACCAACAATCTTAGGCGTTCAAATTATTTGTGCTATCTTGGTGAAATGGTTGGAAAAAAATTTTACAAATTACAAGAAATCAAGATCACTGAAGTGGAAAGGATAGAGAGAAAGAGAAAAGTCTCTGTTGCACCTTCAATTTCGACATTCTTCCTAATTTCTTTTGCTTTAATCCTTCTTATCATACTACTCTATTACCTGACGATCTCACTAGTTTTTATTAGCTTCTCTTTTGCAACTTACTAATGAATATTTGCCCACATCTTCAGTTTAATTTTAGCTTTCTTTATCCACCTTGCCTTCTCCGCCCCGTTGAATTAGCCTCATCCAAAACTTTCGGATCCTCTCTCTAAATATATTTATAATGGTAAACGGAGGAAAGAAGTGAAACATCACACCTACACCTCTGTATCCACATTCCATTCCCTCACCCATCCTATCTCTACTTTGTTGTTGCAAAGCAAAGCGTTCCTATCTAACCTACTACTAAAGCTTATATTGCACAAATTTTGGATCCATTTGCTATGAAACCCTTACCAGAACCGCTCCACACAATCATAAATGCATTACCTATAAATTTTCACCTTCTTATTCTTCTTCCTACCTGTTCGATTATTGACAAATATGCAAATATACTTACTACAAATATGTACCCATTTCCTTTCTTCGATGATTAAGCCGAACACTTCCTCTTTGCTTATTAGTCCTAATTTTTATTTATTTAGCTAAAAAGTCTATTACACTAAGCCTGAATCGTAGGAATTTGATTTACTATGCAATTGACTAATTAACTAATACATTGTTTTAAGATAATAATCATACGCAATCTCTCACTTTTCTTACAAATTTTATCGCAACTTTATTAACTTAATTACTAGAGTTGTGGTTTGAACTTCCATTCAAATTTCATTATATTTAAGACAAATGTTCTCTTTTAAACATAGCGACTTCTTAACAGGTAGAAGTAAGATGCTCTATAAATTAACTTCTCAAATTTGATTGCATTTGTACTGAGATGAAAGCGAAAATTTGATTTTTTTTTTAAATAAATACTAGCATATTACAAAACCTTGGAGAATTACAAAAAATAATTGTTCATAAATTCTATCTTTGCAAAAATTAAAATAAGGTGAATTAGCTTTATTAGTTCTTTACCCCAACTTTGGCACTAATTAAAACACTAAAAGGTGCATTTCAGGATTACCATTACAAATTTAAATTAATAAAGTGTGACTTTATTTAGCTCAGTTCCTCGCGGCATTTAATTCCTTTAAATTTTTATCTTTAAACTGAGGAATATTGCTTAAAATTCTCTCTTCTACTGTTAAATATTTTTCCTTTGCTTCTTCCAAATGTATTTCCGGATTATTATTCCAAATATATTTCCGGTTTTTTTGATCATTAATTTTATTTTCAAGAATTTCATCGGCTAGAATTCAAATTGATCCGTTATAAATCCTCGAGACAGGCCTTATATTTGGAAATTGATAATTGAAATTTCAAAAATATTACATTTGGATCCGTAAATAAATACAAAAAAAAGATGAATTCTTCGAATCTATCTGTTTTTCTTTTGGCTTACATACAGACAATATGATTTTCACTTGCCGAAGTTTCAATCTATTCGTTTCTTCAGAAAAGTTAGACAGATAAAAAGGGTTCATAGAGTGATAATAGATCAATAGCAGGTAGGCAGACTGATCGATAGATAAGTAGATCAGTAAATATAATAGATGGATGGATGAATGGACGGTGGTTGGATGAGATGCTTTTCAATGGATCTGAGGAGAAGATAAATGAAAAGAATTAATAGATGATACACTACAACAATTTTGGTTTCTGCAATGTTTGCCGAGCAATTTTTTCAACAGCAGTTGCTCGGATTTCTTTTAATGAAAATTGTGTAATTGAGAATCGTGCGGAAATGGAACACTCTTTGAACAAATTATATTTTTGATTTGAATATTGGAAAAGAAAGTGAAAGTTTTGATTTCTTATATTATATCTTACATTTTTTGAAGTGTTTTCAAAACAACGAAAAACAAATTTAAAAAAAAAAGTAAATATTTATTAGTTCTAACTGTTAAAAATAAGAAAATATTTATCAATGAAGTAATTAATTTTAATTAATAATTTAATTAATAATTTATTTGATATTTAAAAAATATTTATTTATTAACTGACTCTTTTAACTTACTTAATCCGTAAACTTATTGAGATCAGTAAATTGTTTGACTACTGGATATTCATTCGGAAATTCGGGCCAGAATTTTCAATTTTTATTGAATTTTATAAATGGAATCAAATGTTTTGATAGCCGTATTGTAATGTTTTCCATATCTTCGCTGAATTCATAAAG